CCCCCCCCCCCCTCACGCAGTGTCACCAGTTGAATTGCTGTCCGATGTGGTCTGCGGGCGCCTGTGCGGTGAGTCACTCCCAGAGATAGCGAGCCGGGCCGGGCCCCGTCGATATGACGGACTGGGTGTCGGCGGGCGCCGGGGTAGGGTAGGCCGCGGCGCCGCACCCGTGTGGGGGTGTCTGCCTACCTCCGGCATGACAGGCGCACTGCAATCAGCAAGGGGGTGAAAAATGAAACTCTAATTTATTTATTTATTTTTGCTGTGGACTCTTAATGCCCTCCACCACCACCGACACTGCCGCGCCTCCCCCGTGCTTCTGCTTCCTCTGACCTTGACGCACCGCGCGCGGTCGCGGTCCCTCTCTTCCATGGACGGCCTGCCAGTCAGGTATTTAGTTTGTCGTGTGTGCGTGGCGGGCACCGTTGTGGCGGTTGGCGGGGCGGCCTTGGTGCGGAGGGCAGTGCTCATCCTGAGGCCCGTCGGCGTGCTCCGAGGCGAAGGTGTGCGCTTTATGGATCCGTGCGCGGGTACGCCACTCCCCCACACCTCGCTTCACTCCCACCTCTCTCCTCCCACCCTGCCTTGGTCGGCACCACTCGCGTGTGTCCATACAACGAGGCGCAGGAAGAGCATTACATTAAAATTTCTGACACTGTCTTCGCTGCTTGTTTCCTTTTTGTTTTTCTTTTCTAACAATAATGTTTTCGCTCCGAGTGGCGGCCGGCCGCCGGCCCCAGCGCGATATGCTCTTTTCGGTCTCGTCGCCGCGCCGTTTCCTCATTTCTTTCCTCTCCTTTTCCCCTGCGTGACTCTGGCGAGGGCAGCGGGCGCTCGGCACGACAAGGGGGTTTCGCTTTCAGCACCGTGCCGGTGGCTCTTCCCTTCCCCTGCCGTGGGCTGGGCACTGCCCCGACACTCCTGTCCCTGTTACTGTTATCCCTCTGCTGACCCCCTTCCCTTTCCTCCTCCTCCCCCGCACCATCGGACCGGCCTGAACTTCACGCCCAATGGATGCCGAAATTTGTGGTGGCCGAAGGATCGGACGCAACTCTACCTCTGGTCTGGCGGCTGTCCACCGGTCGGTAGGCCACGCCACTGCAAGTCACAGTAGCGTGATTTGTCGCCCTGGTTGGGTGGTAAGAGGTTCTTGGACAATGACCACTGACTCGCCCCCCCCCCACCACCCCCGTTCACTAAGTAGCCGTGGGCGGAGACGACACAGCCGAGAAAGTGTCTAGGACTTGGTTTGACTCTAGGTAATGAATCATTTGTTGTGGGTTGTGTGTCTGCAGCTCAACGCCTCAACGAGTACGTGCAGCACTTCGAGGGGCTGTCCTACTCGACCCACGATGTGCACCAGAACCACCTACGCGCCAAGCGCTCGGTGACGCGGGAGAACGCCGTGCAGCTGCAGTTCAAGTCGCACGGCAGACGCTTCCACCTGCGGCTCAAGCGAGACTTGGAGACCTTCCACGATGATGTGCAGGTGGTGGACGGCGCGGGAGAGAGACAAGACGTGGACCTGTCGCATATTTACACGGGTCACATTCTAGGTGCGCTTGCATTTGATTCAGTCTGCTGTGCATGATTTTCCAATCCTAAGTCAATTCATGTAACATTTTCAAACTGCTTCCCGTTATTTATTTTTTAGGCGAGCCAGGGAGCCATGTGTTTGGTTCCATAACAAATGGAGTTTTCCATGGGAGAATCATTTCGCCACATGATGGAGATTTCTATGTGGAGAAGGCTCACTACTATTTTCCAAAAGAGTCGAATAACACCTTCCATTCGGTTATTTACCACTCCAAAGATATCACTGATCCATATGCCGAAAGACGTACAGGTAAGATGAGCTTGTATTGTATAGTCAAATATAGATAACAATTAATACAGAGAATTTAACTTTGTAATAATTTCTAAATTTGTTAACAGGCCACAGCAGTGGATGTGGTGTAACAGACCACTGGATGGAGCAAGTGCAGAATTCATTTGTCTCTGAAAATGAAGATGATGTACCAAAACGTAATCTCAAGAAGGTGACAAATCAATCAGACAAGAAGAAAGTTCTTCCAAAAAGAAATATAAGGGAACCACCACCATCTCAAAAACCAACGGACACATTCAGGTGTGAACGAATTCTACTGAAAATGTTGTCATTGAATTTAACATGCATTTTTGTTAACCATGCTTTCTATCTCCCTTTTGCAGTAACTATGAGTATGAATATCCTTATGACAAGTATTCTAGAGAAATGAATGACCACAATCGCAGAAAAAGAGCCACTCAAACAAATGATGAGAAAAAGAATACCTGCTCTCTTTTCATACAAACTGATCCCCTAATCTGGAGGCATATTAGAGATCAGGTACTACTACTGACAAAATAATGTTAACCAATCCAAACCCTCTTTATTCGCTTACTTATATTATATTGCGTTACCAATTTCTCGTTTTTTAGGTTGGTAACAACTCTGAAAAAATAAGAGAAGAAATTTTGTCTCTTATTGCTCACCATGTCACGGCAGTAAATTACATCTACCGAGACACAAAATTTGATGGCCGAATGGAACATCGTAACATAAAATTTGAAGTCCAAAGAATAAAGGTGAGTTCACTGTCAGTATTTATTCTGTTGTCACAGTAACCTATGCAATACCTAACTTTATTTCTTGGTAATTCAACAGATTGATAATGACTCGCAATGCGATAGACCATACGCTGGTGAATCAAATCCGTTCTGTATGGAAAATATTGATGTCAGCAATTTTCTTAACCTGCATTCTTTAGGCAATCACGAAGTTTTTTGCCTTGCGTATGTGTTCACCTACAGGGATTTCACAGGTGGCACACTAGGCCTAGCATGGGTAGCTTCTGCCTCAGGTTTGTACTGTTGTCGTTTGACTTCTAAGATAGAAATTCAGGTTCAAACTTTTCGAAAAATATTCTTTGAATACCTCAACATACTGAGTGTGTCTGTTCACTTTTCTGATAGGTGCTTCTGGAGGCATCTGTGAAAAGCACAAAATGTACACTGAAACTGTAGGTGGTACCTACCAATCAACAAAACGTAGTTTAAATACAGGAATCATTACATTTGTGAACTACAACAGCCGTGTGCCTCCTAAAGTGTCTCAACTTACTTTAGCACATGAAATAGGTCATAATTTTGGCTCTCCAGTAAGTTAATAACTTTCCCTCTTGCTTAATTTCAATTTCTGACTACTTTCTGAATATGTACTTCAACCCGGTCCTGTGTCTTTTACAGCATGATTACCCACTGCAGTGCAGACCTGGTGGTTTAAGTGGCAATTACATCATGTTTGCATCAGCCACTAGTGGTGATCGTCCTAACAATAGTAGATTTTCAAATTGCAGTGTTGCTAATATAAGCCACGTATTGGATGCGATTTTCGAAAACAAGAAGAAAAACTGCTTCAAAGGTTTGTTGATCGCATTATCCTATTCTGAAAAACCCTTTTTTTCTCTATTTCTCTCATTAATCTGCATTTCCAAAATGTGTTGTTTTTAGAATCGGAGGGAGCATTTTGTGGAAACAAAATTGTTGAGGATGGAGAAGAATGTGATTGTGGGTTTGATAATGAGTGTACAGATCCCTGCTGTTACCCTCGTAATTTCAGTGAACATGATCACAACCTTAATAAATCAGCTGTTATGTGTGCTAGGAGAGCGAATACCCAGTGCAGGTAAAGAACCAGTTTGTCTAGTTGACCCTTAGTCGCTTTTAAAGTTACAAAGTAATTTCAAAGTTTGCTTTTTATGATTATTCCAATACTTTTTCATTGGTTTGCAGCCCAAGTCAGGGTCCTTGCTGTTCGGCAGATACTTGTTCCTTTATACCCAGCAGCTTCAATCAAGAATGCAGATCAGAAACCAATTGTAGTTGGAGATCGTTATGTGATGGAAGAAGTGCTGAATGTCCAGAACCTTCTCATAAACAAAATAAAACTAGGTGTAATGAAGGAACGCAGGTAACATTATCCACCACTAGCAGAACTCATTGTTTAGATTTTTAAAATGTTTCAGAACCTGCCAGATATCAATATTTTCCCTTTATTTTGCAGTTGTGTATCAATGGGGAATGTTCAGGATCTATTTGTTTGGAATGGAACATGACAGAATGTTTCCTAACATCAACTTTGATACCAAATATAGATAAACGCCAGTTATGTGTACTGGCATGTCAAAATGGGACAGATCCAAATTCTTGTAGAAGTACCAGCGAATTTGCCCACAAAGTTGGGTTAAAACCGGGAGGTATAAGCCTGAGACCAGGCTCACCCTGTGATAATTTTCAGGTATTTTTTTTTAGTTCTTTGGTTTACAATATTAACATTGACAGTTCATGGTAGTCTATCATGTATCACTTCTCAACTTTGCTATTCTTTTGATTAGGGCTATTGTGATGTGTTCTTTAAATGCCGTGCTGTTGATGCAGAAGGTCCTCTAGCACGGTTGAAAAATATGCTTTTCAACAAGCAAACACTTCAAACACTAGCACAGTGGGTCACTGTAAGTAACTAAGAACAAGATTTCTCTTAATTCAGTGCTTAGTACTTTCACTTCTTCTCAATGATTTATACTCAAATGGTCACTTGCAGGAATATTGGTGGGCTGTCCTTCTCATGGGCATCTTTTTCATCATATTCATGGCCATATTTATCAAGTGTTGTGCTGTGCACACACCATCTTCTAATCCAAAGAAACCACCGGCCAGACGTTTCTCTGAGACTCTTCGAAGGCCTATGAACACCTTACGGAGAATGGTAATCCTTTTTTTTCCTCCTGAGTTTGTGCTGTTTTTGAAAAGTTGTTCATATGTGACTGACTCGCCTCTCCTGTACTGTGTAGTTGTTCTTGCTTTTTATGTACATTAATGGACTTGTTAAATTACATTTTCAATTTCCTATACTCATTGTTCAGCGGGGACCACATGGAAGAGGGCCCAGTTCAGGAGGTCACCACATGAGACAGGGTCACAGTAGAGCTCCAGCCCACGGGTATGGAGAGGGTCGAGGTCAATATTATGCACCCAAAGGTAATAATTTTTTCTAATGTTTATCACTCTATAATTATAAATAGAAGTATCTCACTGCTGATATGGGTGTGTGTGTATGTCTCTATGTGCATGTGTGTTTTGTGTTCTTTGTTTCTTTGCCAGTGCTCGTATTGTTGGCAATTAACAGTTTTTCATATTTCAGCTTTTTAGTTTTTGGGCCTATTTTGGCACAAATTTCTCCTACCCAATTATTTTTCTAATTTATTTATTTTTTCCTGTTTGCAGCCTCGGCGCCCCCGGCAGGTTACAGCAGAGCAAACCATGGTGAGCTTTATGCAGGAGCATACAATAGCTCAGGATCTGGACCTTCTTCGCGTAATGCCAATGCCAATGCCTTCGAGATGCGTCACCACAAAGTCTGATAGGACAACCAAATCTTGTTGCTCCAGCCATAGCCACCACCGGCAAGCCGGCCAGGTGAGGCTTGTGTAGTGTGCACTGCTACGTCAACCAAAATAGTGTGAAGCACTCTCTTTTTAAACTTCTTTTTAAAATTAGTTGGCAATAAACTTTTTATCTCTATGTGCAAGTTTTGGAGACTTTACAGTCAAATCCTCTAAATTTCTCTAGCATGCACAATTCACAGCAGTGTATGCCATCATTTTAATAAGGAATTGAAATGCTTCAAACTTTTCTGCATGCCTAATGTTTAGGCCTTTTCACTCAGAAAAAATATTCCACCTATCATTAATCATTATATTTCACAATCCTCAAATGTATGTGATTTGGCATGTTATTGGCTAAGTGAACTAATATGTGGTGTTGGTGGTGGTGGTGGTGGTGGTGGACAAGAAGGAGGATGGTAGATATGTTTCAGTTGAATGTACTATCATTATACTCATTGGTGACAAGGTTATTGGCAATTGCATCCGGTGTCCGGTTTATGCTGTACTTACCTAGTTTAATTTTTTGTATCTTGGAGGTTGTCTGTCTTATTATCCGGTGTTACTCCTTAAGGTGATACAGGACTGAAACTGGAAAAGTCCGTCAAAAAGCAGCTATTTTGAGTTTAAAATTAAAATGCGAATTAAATCAAGAAAAAGCTCTCTATTTCATTCTAAGTTAGTTTATTGCGGTTCTTTTAAGGTATAATAAGTCTATATTTAAACGTAACTGTGGTCGCGACACGTTTTTTGAAGATAAAAATCGTGTCGCGACCACAGTTACGTTTAAATATAGACTTACTTGATTTAAAACTCAAAATAGCTGCTTTTTGACGGACTTTTCGAGTTTCAGTCCTGTATCACCTTAACAAGTAAAGATAAAACAGTTATGCATGAACTTATAATCTAATATAATTTCCTTATAAGTTGTCTCTCATAAGATTCTTAAAACAAGTACAAAACATTCATTTGACTGTTCTACTTTTCTATCTTATTTAAAACCTCAATGAAATTACGTATTTCAAAGCACATTTCTTTTTTGACCCTTTTTTTCTTTCAAATGTTTCAGGTGTATGATGCTTTGAACTCCGGCAATCATTTCCTTGTGGCGCCAGCCATGGACCTAAGTGCAAACCAGTCACTGGATGATGTTTCTCCTAAGGAATCTTCATCCCTCCATGCACTTTTGTGTGCTCCAGCTAAATGCTGTCAGAAGTGATCATATGATATTATAGAAAATTATATGGTATTAAGGTTGGAGATCTTCACTGCCTCAGTATTAGTGTGAGTGCTTTCTTTGCCAAGCTTCTGTCTGCTAAATTGTTCATTTCCTAAGCAAGTATGATATATGATATCCATAAAAGTTAGTGTTCATCCCTCTTGTTAACGTAGCCACTCTTGTTTTTCTTCAGTTGATGGCAATTTTCTCAAGTTTTCTAGAAAAACAATTTTTAGCTTTATTATACGCTATCATGATATATTTTAATCTCTCTGTGGCACCACACGACATGAAAAAGTATGTCCTGCCCCAAGAGAGTGATTTTCGAGTACACAGTATGTGCCTTTCCCACTGACAGTGAGTCAATTTCTGTTTTATTTGTGAGTCAAGACGTAACATAATTGATATTGGTACACAGTGGAAGTGGCAAATGATTGGCTGCTCTTTAGAAACTAAAGTATGTTTTAGGGCAGAGGAATTAATTCTCAATTTTACAGGTGTAGCAAAGTACAGAACTTAGAATTATAGATTCTGATACTGCTACAAATTCTGCTAGCACTTCTATAGATTGATTTTGATAACTACTGGCATTGATTCCTGTCGTTAATGTGCTGTCCTTGCTCTATTTTTCTGTGAAGGCAGCACTTTTTTGTAATACTGATAGTGCCAAGGAAGCCTTGATTGGGACCATCATCTATGATGCAAATTGTTGCCCGGTAGCCCGATAAATGTATATGGAATTCTTGTAAACTGTTTGCTCCTTCTTGGTATTTTGTTTACACAAAGACAGTTACTGTGTCAATCATGCCAATACAAAATTTAAGTAATATGAAAGGTATGAGGGAGCTGTAAATTTTTGGTCTTTTGCAGTCCTAACTAAAATTGTGACATGGTACTACAGCCATTGTTCAGAAGTCTGAAAATTTCTATCTAAAATTTTGAATCCAACTGCCATTTATTCTCAGGTGTCTCAAAATAATGAAGTGCTTTGCACTGCCAATTTATCTACTGCCATTGTCCTTAGTGTGGTGTAATTAATCCCTTTTCTTATCTGTAGAAAATGTAACTTTGAGATTTTCTAAGACTGAAAAACAACTGATCAAAAGTGGCTTGCAAGAGGTTTGGCATTGCTTTTGGTGTTATGACGTATTTGTTTCAAAAGGAAATATTAATAGCTAAGAATTGAGACAATTCAGCAAGACAGGACATTGCCCTTCAATGTATATAAAATGAGAATGCAATGGACAATATTTTGCAATGGTTTTGAGAGACTGAAGAGTGTACAGATATGTTGATCTTCCTAGCTCTCATTAAAAAGAAGATATGCGTGCTCTGTGATTTTGTAATTAAATGGTAAGTAGAGCTGGACTCAAAATGGTACACAGCATTTTAATTAAAGGCATTTTAAAATGCATGTATGTGAATGAACAGGTGTGTCAGTATAGTGAGAGTGTGTGTATGTGTGTTTCATGCAATTTATTGCTGACGTGTGATTTTTCTATTACAAGAGAACAAATTTCAACTTTAATATTTCTTAGGTCTGCTATCGATATAACTATTGGGGAGTAGGCTTTGATCTCTTCATGGAAGCCTTACTACTTCAACAATGAAACTGTTCATTATTGATTGTTTTGTGAATGTTGTTTTTATGTCATTTTATATAATCTTCTTTTGTAATGCTTTGTAACCTTTCCCTCTATTTTTGACTTATAATGAACTAGATGCCTCTCTTTGATCATGGAATATGTTAGCTTGATTTTTTTTTAATTTTATTTTTTTTATTTGGCTTACTTGGCCTTAACAGAAAAATCTAGGGCACATATCTGGTTGTTGTTGCCCCTACTAATTACTGTCTTTTGTTCAGTTCCACTTTTAAAAATTTATGACTCGCAGTCATGCATTCCAACTTGGCTTGATTTTATGTGCGGGGCCCATGAGGGAAAGGTTCCTTATTAAGTTTCAATTTTTATTTTTCTTTTAAAAATTCTTCCTTTCTGTTCGAGAGGCATAGCTTTGATGTGTCTCCAATGTTGTTAGTGGTATGCATCACAAACTTGTTTATAATGTTTCATGCTATTTATTGGTTAATGTTTATAGAATGAAAAGATCTGAGTTGGAAAGTTTGTGTGTATAAAGAAGCAATGAACAAACAAATAAAGAATATATTCTTATAGTCACTCTATACAGGTAATTCTTATCATGTTGCCTCACTTTAAATTTCTCTAAACCAAACCGTACGGTAATGAAATTTATATCATACTGATAGTCATATGCAGTAAAACATTTGTTTGATTTTAAGCTTTAATTTCACATTATCTTATGATGATGTTTCCATTTTTAATTCTATGATTCAATCTACATCAAGCTGCTTCCATGTGAATAGCTTAATTGCAGGATTTTTCTTTTATGGTTTGTGGCTGTAAGACCTGGTTGTTACTGATTCATAAGTTATAAATTTTGTCATGATGGCCATTTCCTTTCTTAGATGCCATGTTCTGGCATCTTGCTTTTGCATGTTAGTCATATTTCAGTGAAATTGGCATAATGATATGTTTCTTTTCATTCCGTGTGTTGGAAGACTGACCTGTTCTACAAAGTCAAGTATCAGTAACTTTCTTTATGTATATTTTTATTTTATTTCAATTTCCTAGTACAGTGTTAACTGTTGTACAAAGAATTCTTGTTTATGTTTTTTCTTTCTTTTTTTTTAATGTTATGTATGTATGTATCAATAGCTTTCTTGGTTTCACAAGATAAGATAGACAAACCTGTGCAAATCTAATTTTTATTTTGTGTGTGATGGCTGGCTGACTCAAAATAAAAGCATTGTCTCTGCCATGAATGTTGAAAAAATTTATTAAAATGTACTTAGATAAAATAATGTACTGATTTTATTTTACAAAAACATAACAGAAGTGTGATTATACCTCTCAGAAGAAAAAAAATAAGACAAGCTTTATCAGCCCACAACAATACAACAACAAATCATATAAATATTAAAATACAGAATTAAACAATCTTTTCTTGTCAAAAACAAAACGGTCTTTTCTATTCAGTGAGTAATGTTTTTACATACTCAGATTAATTTATACTTTGTGAGACCCCTCTACAGGCCTTCCATATCAAAGTAAAGTGCAAAATTTATGTTGCTGCTTGTCGGTAACCTATAGGGCCTTCATACAGAGTTTTTGATGGACCTCCAATGGGTCCCTTGTAGCAAGCCGCAAAACTGTGTTGTGCTAATCGATCTTCAACAGGTAAGTTTTTGGCGCTGCACGCCTTCTTGTAAGCAGCAGCCACTCTATAGTTGTATGCACTATTTTCTATGTCCTACAAAACATGGAATATTTAGTGGTTACAGTTTTGATGCAAAAGAATGAGGTAACAAGCAGGTATGAATAATGACTTTTATACTTACTTCCACATCCAGGTCATCTAGCTTCTTAAGCGCTCCATCTCTTATCCAAGCTCTTGCGCAAGAAGATCTTTTGTCGTCATCAAAAAAGACAACATGGTACCAAGTCTTTAAAAGAAAATAGATTACTTGCAAATTTCTCTGATGATGACTAAAAATTACTATGAAAATTACAACATGACAACTATATATTCACCGGAATATCAGAAAATTCATTGAGCCAAAAAAAACATTCTAAATCTGGGTCATCTTCTACCATAGCTGGCCACCAAGGATATCCTGACAGCCTTGCCCAAACAAGAGATCCAGGAGAGTACTCGCTGAAGATCATATCTTCTTCTACTCGAAGGGACTCACGTTTTTCTGGAGCATTACAATTGTTCTGTTCCTCATCTGCAAGAGAGTGAGGTAAGCAAATATTCATTGAATGTAAACTTTAATAACTTCAATATTGAGTAGCTAACAAACCTGGATGCATGTTACAAAACCACTCATCCGGTAAAGTAGTGGGGTCATGGCAGTCAGGTAGATAACGCCATTTTCCACACACCTCCTTATCACACCGAACCCAATTGCCTGCTAAGCGCTTCTTTTGAATCCATTTCAGCCTATCCCTTGCTGTTAAGTTTGATGGGGGTGGAGTAAATTGAATTTCTTGGATGAACTGTTGACTGCCGTTAGGAGTACAAGACACTGAACTGTTCTCTTCATTAGAATTAGGTGTCTTTGGACCTTTACTGGACTGAGGGGTACGTATTGTCACTGGCGTCTTCACTGGTGTCTTTGGATCCTGACTTGACTGAGGGGTACGTACAGCCACTGGCGTCCTCACAGGTGTCTTTGGATCCTGACTTGACTGAGGCGTATGAACAGTCACTGGTGTCCTAACTGATTTCTTTGGATCCTGACTTGACTGAGGGGTGCGTACAGTCACTGGCGTCCTCACAGGTATTTTTGGATCCTGACTTGACTGGGGGGTATGCAAGATGGTTGGCGTTCTCACAAGTGTCTTTGGATCCTGGTTAGACTGAGGAGTGCACATTGTTGAGCTGGCTGGTGTTCTTACAGATGTTGGAGTCTTGGGCCCCTCATTTCTCACAGACCCTGGTCTGCTTGTAGAGTTAACAAGCGTTTTGGGTTCAAGAGGCAGCTCCGACACAGATGCATTTTTATTTGATGTGGAAACTGGAGTTAAAAGCAACTGAGAGAACTGTGACAACGTGTTGAAGTCATTTGAAGTATTGATGGGCGAAATGTTTTGCTCTTGAGATAATGAGAGCTTGAAATCCATTTTCTGAGAAGTAGCAAAGGGAGTGGAGGTGATCTGTGAACTGCTTCCAATAGATAATATCTCAGTTTTTATAGTAACAGGTTCTTTTGAGCTTTGTTGAGCTGTCTGAGAATCTCCAGTTGTATTCTCATCACATAGGTCTTCAGGTGCAACTGGTTGTGATTCATGACACATGTAAATAATTGATGGTGATGGTGTCATCATCTGATCTTGGCTGGTGCTTTGCTCAGCAGGCTGTAAAGAACAAAATACTTGTGGAGACAGGAAAGATGACTTAGATAGAAATCTTGAATAGGCAACTTACATTAGATGTTAAAGAATTGTCAGCAGTAGTTGTATTGATTGAGTTTGAAAAAGGATCATTCTTTTCATTTACATCTTTTGAAGAAACCTGATAGAAGAGAGTAAAATTTATCAGAAAAAAAGGTAGACATTCTATCAAGAGAAATGTTCATTTCCTTGCCTCATTTGAAACTAGAGTCTTGTTCTCAACAACAGTATTATTAATTTCCACAACAGTCTCATCCTAAAATCACAGATAATTGTTATTCAAAAATGTGGTTCATTTAATAATAATTTCAAGACAATTGAAAAGACTCTCAGAAGAATAATAAAATTAAGCACCTCGGAATCCAATTCACTTTGAGAAAATGTTAATATATCTGTTGATTCATCTACTGGTTCAGAAGTTCCTGGAAATGCATCTGATACTTCAGAAGCTTCAACCCCATTTTCTTCTTGGATTTTCTTTTCAGGTGACTTGGTTGGCTCCACTGGCTCTGTAGTTGGATAGTTTGATATAACTGCATTGAAAATCATTTCATATTCTTGGTTTGTTAATGATTTGAAAGGACGTTTCTAGACAAAAAAAAATATTCCAAAATTTATTAAAATTCATCTGATTTTTTTTTTGTTCGTTTCAATCAAAATCACAAGCACTTACTGGCTTTTCTTTATCAGCTTTTGTTTTCTTTGAACTAGACTCAGGATTTAAATTTTCTTTGTCATTTAAATTATTATCCTCTACTACTTCAACCTTAATAGTTGAAGAAGATGAAATAGTTGGAGGAATTTCCATAATATGTTGTTTAGCTGGAGGTTCAGCTGAATCGTCTTTACTGGTGGATTCCAGCTTCCTTTTCTCTACAGCAGTACTATTATTCGTAGGACTTGAGACTTCAAGAGGTTTTTCCTTGGGGACTGAAAAACCTGAAGCCTTTGATTTGGAGTTCTCTTTGACGGGAGTTGGTTTCAAAGTTAAAGGCTGAGAGTGTAACGAAATCGGAAATGGGAAAAAAAAGGGTTAAGTATTTCGATCTTAGGAACATATGTTAACAGGGCTTGGATGTGAGTAAAATGGCAAAATGGTAGCCCTACGCACCGCTTATCCTAACACCCATTATTTCAGATTTTCCAAATATCGGGTTCGCTAATGCGATTTAAGTTGTTTAGTAAATGTTATGCAAATATTTTCATGCCCATATAGGAACGTACTAAATGATTTTGAGTCCTGATAGGTCCCCTCATTAGACACCATCAAAATATCTTCACAAGATGTAAAAATTTATCCATTGCATTTCTCAACAACCTAAATTGCATTAAGAAACCCGTGCTGAGTTGGTAAATGCAAACATATGAGGTGATATAGCCTAGCAGGTGGATTGGAGGGCTACCTTAAACAGTGGCTTTACCTTGTTAATGGGTGCAGATGGTGTCAGCAGTTTATTAGAGTCTTGATTAAGCATACTTCCTTGACTGCTATTCGACGAAAAAGAAAATGAACTTGCTGCACCATTCTTCCTTAGAGGAGCAACGAACTTGATCGGCGCCATGATTGAGAGCCTAAAAGCGTGTAAACTTCTCGGAACGATTGGGCCTTACGAGTTACGAGAGACTTGCCTTAGAATTATCTGTGACGCCAAATGAAGGATTCTATGATTATGAAGAACAATCGATCAGATGTTACATCACATTAAAGAAATCAACGAAATGAAATAGAGATAAACGAAAATATTACCTTTCAAAACGACACCGGCACCGGATCAACTCAAATGTAGCACAGATATCTTTACCGTCCTTAACCGTCGACACGCGCCTGTGCCAGTCGTGCCAATTCCTCCCGATTCCCGCCCGTTACCGTGCCACCACACCAATGCGATCACAACCACACCGCACCGTGGGAGAATAGATGTGATAACCTTTTGTTTCTTATTTTGATCCCTAAACGGACTTAAAAAGTTTGCTGAAGCCGCAGAACGGCCACAACGGTTTCAGAATATTTGCATGTTTTTAAAACTTGACAGTTGGTATGATGGCCACGTCGGGGCGTCGGGTGACGGGTACCCGGAGGGAATGCCCAATGGGACCAATAGGGTAGGTACAGGGTAGGTTCAGATGAAAACGACCCTGGATTGCTTATCCATCAGACGGTGGTCTGTATACCATTATTATGACCTGAAAACACGTCGCCCAGCCTTGCGATTTCTATACCTGCCCTGAGTGCAACAAGGACAGAGCTACAGTAGGTATAGGAGAGCCCCTCTTGAACGATCTCCTGAATCGCACCGCAGGACCCAGCAAGGTTGTGTGTGAAGCAAACTCCTTGGAAAAGGCACAATCGTGTGCGAGCCCCCCTACCGGTCCTTGGGCCCGGCTGGGGGCGTCCGCCCGGCCTCCCGCTAGCCACCACGCCCCCACACCTCCGCCCTCCTTCTCAAGTCGGTGGCTGACCGCGGCGGCCGCGGCTCTGCGGCGAGGGTGTGGGGCGCGGCGGAGAGGGTCCAACGGGTCCGACGGGCCGGAAGAAGTAGCCAGAGAGTGGTCGCCAGAGGGGCCCTCGCGCCAGCCAGCCGCACGCAGGCCCACCCAACCGTTCCGCACGGCCCGCGCCCCGCACCGGGTCGCCCCCCGCGCCACCGCGGCGGCTTCGCAGGTCGCGAAGTCTATCGCGCCGAGCTCGCGCGCCCGCACCACCGGGCTCACGTGAGGAGCTCGTCGTCTCGTCGGCGGGGGCAGGCGCCTTCGCCTCGCAGTGGTGCCGCGGAACACCTTTGCTCCTGCGCTCGTGTTACCCGGAATGAAGTGGTTAGTAAGCCGAGCCCGCCCCGTGCATGCCGCGACCCTCCCCGAGCGTCAGACCCCCCGTGTTGGCCTGGCCGAGGAATCTCTGGCTTTGCGACGTGCAGGCGGCCGTACTATGGGGGTTCCGCGTCCTCGCCCTGCGCTCTCTCAGCCTCAGTGCGGAGTTGTGTGTGTGAGTGTGTGCTTGTGGCTGTGTTGTGGATATATGCACCTACCCTCCCATCGCGCTGTTCAAGGTAAGAAAGACAGCGATGAGTCTCCCCCCCCCCCTCCCGCTTTGCCCCCGGGCACCGAACATACCGGGTGTAAGAGCCAACACCGTAGGGCTATTGCGGGTTTGCCTACCCTCTTTGGCCTCAGCAGAGGCCGTATGGTGCGTGCCTGACGATGGGAGTGGAGTACGCACGCAACCCCATCACATTGGGTTGTTTGCTCTGATACACCCTCCGAGTGTTGCTATGGGGGAGGCCGCGGGCCACATGAGCGTGCCCTTTGCGCTGCGCTGCGTCGTCGGCCGGGCCGACTTGCCAAGGTGTATGTGCATTCGCTTCCCGGCGGAGGTGAGGTACACAGCGTGGCGACAGCCGGCATCTCCTGGGAAACCTTGGGGTAGTCCCGTGAGTCTGCCTCGGCGCGACCGCGGTTGCTGGCATAGCCGGGCGTAGCCGGGCCGGGGCGGGGTGGGGCGAGACTCGGTCGAGACGTCCTCTGGGCTTTATGATCGTGGCGATGACGCGTGACCGCAGCACCTCGGCACACCCCTCCCACTCCCTGGACTGCCCCCAGTTCCCCAGCTCAAAGAGGCCCTCCCCAATACCAGCTCAGTCTGCGCTCCCCCCTCCCCCGCTCCTGGAGTCCACGGTCCCAACTCGCCAGCCCCACGAGTTCCCTCCCCGCTCACCATCTCCTAGCCCTGAGTTCTCACCTGGTTCTCACTCCCCCCGCTCCACTGCTCCCGCGTTGCTGCTTGACGTGCAAACGAGCGTGAGCGTGAGTACCTAGGCCGCGCTGCACTTGCACCTGTCTGGCGCTGTCTCTTACACGGCGTATCTCTTGCCGGTTCGTTCTTGACCCCCCC